CCTTGAGTATTCTCTCACCTGTGGCCACTTGTCCATGTAAGGTATAATCATCCTAAGCCTTGTCTCCACAGCATTACTAATAAACTCTGTGGTGCTTTTCTTCCTGGAAAACAGGAATTAGAATACATCAGGTGAGCAATGGATATCTCTCATCATTTGCATTCTTTCTTTAGACATGTTCAATGATCTGGGATGTGCTTTTCTTCATGAGTCAGTTGGGCAATGAATGTACCTCATGGAAGAACCAATAAATTATGTCCAATCTGATGAGAAAAAGTTTATAGGTAGCAGAATCAATCAGCCACTATATATTTGGCCAAGTAAACCAAGTGTTGTTTTTATCCAAGGTCTTGGTTTGACCAATCTTATACTGGTGTAGTAATGAAACACTGAAACACTGTTTCTCTCATGTATGTATATTGCACATGTTGGGTCAACGTGAGAAACGTCCTAGTACCTAAATGAATAAAAGACAGATGAGTCTAGTCACAGTCAGTAAAATACTACTTACAGTTTGTGAAACTGAGGTGTTTCTAAGGACCTTGGATGCTTATCTGGATTCAGTCCCAGATGATGGACCCCTTTTTTTCTAGGATAAACAAAATCCACACAGTGTAATACCAACAGACCTCTGGACTAGATATCCATGCCAAGACAAATACATCAGGCAGCAGTGCTCATACTGGTGGCCAACATTAGGTGGAAAACGGAAAAGTTTTTTAAAAACTAAAGCTAAATACCTGTCTCCATCTGCAGGCTCCTCTTGCAGCCTTTCTGACCCATCCTGTTGTTGTGTCCTCTCACTCTCTAGCTGCTGACTGGCCTCGACTTCCTGTCTGAGTGTGGCAGCCAACTGAGCATTCCACGTAGCATATAAGTGATGTACGAGTTCTGCGCCACCCCTGGGGAACATGCCATGAGCCACAGAGGGATATCCCTCACTTTCAGCACCTGGGGAGGATTTACCAAAGGAAAATGTACATATTACATATTATATGTGTTTGTGTGTGTGTGTGTGTGTGTGTGTGTTTATGTGCACACGTGCATTTGTTTGCGTATGAATGTGTGCTCATGTATGCTTGCATGCATGTGTGAGGCACTGCACTGCTTATTCATCAGAGCTAAACAATGCACTGTTATGCTAAGCATCATTAAACTAAACAAACTAAAAAAATATTTAAAAGATCACCGATGCTTAACTTTTACACTGAATATATAACTATTAAACTTTTCTTTACAGTAGAGGTCATGACATGTACGTATGACATGTAATGGCTAAAAAATATTAAAACTTGCATTCGCATAGGTCTGATACTTTTTACAAAGAGACAGTATAGGCTTATAGTAATGAGATAAAATTCTCCAAAATCAACATAAAAATGAGGTTCATTTCTCTTTTACCATTAAATAATGATATGATTAAATAATCTAATTTCTTTAATATCAATTTTAATTAATAGTTACTAGAGGTGAAAAAAGTTACTTGTTTAGTGATATGATTTTGCTTGTGTGACCCAAATTAAATTAAGGTTTTTGGCCCATACCTTTGGAAAGAGTTGTGATTGTCCATCCGTGGTCATGGACATATCTCAGTGAAGCATTTAAAATTCTTTTCTTGATCTCATATTCATAATCCTCCTCGCTGTCCCCAGATGGGGGCTCTTCCCAATTGCTGAAAAATCACAAGAAAATATTTGAGGCTGTTATGAATAAATGTTCCTTTCTTCTTGAGAAAAAAATTTAAATGATTTTGGTAGTAATGTTTCAACATCATTTGAAGTAGATTAAAGGGAAAAGGTATGACTTTTACATAAACCATTTTCAGAGAAACCATTTAAATTGTTTCAACAAACTTTAAAACTAAAGGCATTGATGCAGGTCAAAAGTGGATGCAGTATTCCTAAGAAGGAATTACAAATTTGACACCTTTCCAAACAAAAATATCATAATTACAAGACTTGCTTTCTGTGTGTACCTTTGTTCTCCTGTGCTGCCACCAGGTGTACAAAGGAGAGGACCACGTCTGGATAAAGTTCTCACAGATACTGCAATGATATTACATTTTCAGCTCAAATATCTGTGGNATAGCAAATAACATGCATTATTACAACTCATCATTTTTTTTTTCAATTAAAAATTACTGTCCTCAATTCTCAGCTATTCCTGCCTCCAATTTATTTGGTAATTATTTCAGTGCTAACAAGATAAATATTGTGAATTTCTGATTTGATCAATTCCTGCCTATTCATATTGAAATTTCTCCTAACCCCAATCTCTCCCACCTCCCATCTCTTAAAGCAACAAAACAAAAAATTATTCTCTGTCCTGTTCAAGGGAAGATGATGCAGTATACTCTCTGTCATAGGTGTTGACAATATTTCTGAAGTGTGTGAAAAAAAAAGGCTGAGCACAGAATTAATCAGAGCAATATCTGTGAACACCTCGTGAAAAATATTCATCTGATAGAGGGTACTAGTCCTCAGTTGTTCTAGAAGTCTATCCATTCACTCCAGCAAAGTTGTCTCCTGTCTTTCCACCAGGATCTAATCCCTATTTAGTTGAGCTAGTCTCTTCATCAGGACTAGCCTCTACAGTTGGACTCACTTTCTCTCCAGCCACTCCAGTTGTGTCAGTCTCTTGAGTCGTTTCACCAGACCTAGTCCCTCCAGTCACTTCCAATGAACTGGTCTTAGCAGTCACTTGAGTCAGTCCAGTTGGGCTGCCCCCTCTCTTCAAGGTGGCCAGAAGATCGGTGACCCTTCCCAGGACAATCCCCATCATTTCAAAGGTGTTTAAGCCAACCTGTAGCACCTGCATCTTCTGAGACTTTGGCATACTTGGCAGGAGTGTCCCAGCAATGGCAATGCCGACATCTGCCCCCTTGTCATCACGGACTTTTCTATTGTACAGTCCCTGCTGCATCATCTTCAGTTCTGCCTCAATGTGATTTTTGGACATCTTGAACCCATGGAGCAAGGGGGCTATGTAGACTTTTTCAATTTGGTCAACAACATTCCAAATTCCGGTGACATTGATGTGGGGTGGATCACGCAAAATGAGATAGCGGAAAAAATTCAGCACGGCCATAACTCGATCCGATTGGCTGAGCAGGTCAGTGTGTGGGCCCTCTTCTGGGAAAGCAAATACTAGGTTGTAGAATTTCTGCAGCGCTCGGGCAGAGAAGGCTTCGCTTGGTGAAGGTGACTGCAAGCTGGCATGAATTTCATCCTTGATCAGTTGAATGATATATCCTTGATGGCCAGGGCGTGCAGCTTTATTCAACATCAGAAAAAGACACTGGCTCCGACCATAGGCGTTAAACCTGCTGACTATGATGGGGATCAGTTTCAAAGCACGGCTACGAAGGTCTTGCACTGGGCAGTTGATCAGCACACGGGTTATATAGTCAACAAAGATGGCAAAATCTTTCGATTCCAGGATTTCTGGTTCCCATTCTCCTTTTGGGATGCGCTTGACAAGAGTCTCTGCAAGTGCCACGCCCTTTTCTATAACGACGGAATGTGTTTTATGCATCATGACACACATAAAGACAATGTTGGACTCAAAGACGTATGGATGTGTAAACACAGATGGAAACTTGTCAATTCCAACATTTTCACAGAAAAGAAGGTAAGCAAAACAGCTCATTCCCACAATGGGAGCTTGTTGCTCTTTCTCCCATTCATCAACTTCATCGATCTCATCCAAAGCTCCCGATGATAATTTTCCTGCTTTTCTCATCTTTTTGACACTGTCTTTAGAATGTGCTGCCAGCATCCAGCTAAGGGTTTTGTAAAAATCATGCTGTAATTTGGAAATCATGGAGATGATGCGCTGGGCTATCACACGACCGGTGGAACGCTTGGCGTCCCCGTCATTCGGATCATGTGACAAATCCAAATACACCATCGGAAATTCCAGCAGCTTAATCAAATATATTACCAGGTCTTTCCTCTCATTCATGATGGCGAGGCTATTTTCCCTAACAACATCCACTGATATATCATGTACGAATGGTTTAAGAAAATCCACTAAGGCATCTACTGCCGTGTTGATTTGGCTGACCTTTGGATCATTTTCCAAAAACTTCCGCTCTTCTTTCTCTAACTTATAATCTTCTGGTTCTTTCAGAGCTCCAATATATCCGTAAAGGGTCTCCAGGGATATCTGCAATGAATTGTGCCTCTTAGATGGCAGCTTTAGCAAAACTTTCTGTATAGGTTTCAGGAGGGTTAGATAGCGAACTTCATCGATAAATGCACCAGCTTGTTCCAGGAATCCTAACATAAGCTCTTTGGGGTTCCCAAGGGTGACAAACTGTTCAAAGATGTCTCCACATATTTCTGTGAGGTGTGGGAATTTGAGGGCATTCTCCGCTGTGAGGCATGTTGAAAATGCAGGGATCAGATCCCAGGAAACAGCAGGAATGTGTTTTTGGTAAGGAGGAGCAAGGATGAGTTCACGGCACTCGGAATACTTTTCATCTTTTAGAAACTTTTTCACTAACTTCTCAAAGTCTTCAGCCATTTTGTTCAATGGATGTCAGCTGAACTGATTTTTTTTAACTTTCAGTTTCCGGTTAAGTCATCTGAGACAGTCTGTAAGATGAAAATGAAAATGTGGCAATGCTGGAATGGAGATTGGAGATGAATGCTCCTTCTTTATGAATACAATATCTTTGCTGCTGTATCTGAAAACGAACTTCCTAGCACCAATTTCACAACTCTCAATTTGTGATGATAGAGTTTTCAAAAGAAAAAAATAAATAAAAATTATAATAATAATGAAATAAAATTAGGGGAACTGTCATCTATCACATACAAAAATACACTGTAGGACAAACAATGCAACAGGAAAAAAAAATATTCTATAAGAATAAAATTTTAAAAATGGCACACATCAGCAACAGATGACAAACTAGGAATTTCCCTTTGAGTGACCATGATTAAGTGGGGATTGTTAAACAAATGTGTTTGCAAAAAAAAAAAAAAAAAAAAAANATATAGCAAATAACATGTATTATTACAACTCATCATTTTTTTTTTCAATTAAAAATTACTGTCCTCAATTCTCAGCTATTCCTGCCTCTAATTTGTTTGGTAATTATTTCAGTGCTAACACAATAAATATTGTGAATTTCTGATTTGATCAGTTCCTGCCTACTCATATTGAAATTTCTCCTAACCCCAATCTCTCCCACCCCCCATCTCTTAAAGCAACAAAACAAAAAATTATTCTCTATACTGTTCAAGGGAAGATGATGCAGCATACTCTCTGTCATAGGTGATGCCATCACTTCTGAAAGTGTGTGAAAAAAAAAGGCTGAGCACAGAATTAATCAGAGCAATATCTGTGAACACCTTGTGAAAAATATTCATCTGATAGAGGGTACTTGTCCTCAGTTGTTCTAGACGTCTATCCATTCACTCCGGCAAAGTTGTCTCCCGTCTTTCCACCAGGATCTAATCCCTATTTAGTTGAACTAGTCTCTTCATCAGGGCTAGCCTCTACAGTTGGACTCACTTTCTCTCCAGCCACTCCAGTTGTGTCAGTCTCTTGAGTCGTTTCACCAGACCTAGTCCCTCCAGTCACTTCCAATGAACTGGTCTTAGCAGTCACTTGAGTCAGTCCAGTTGGGCTGCCCCCTCTCTTCAAGGTGGCCAGAAGATCGGTGACCCTTCCCAGTACAATCCCCATCATTTCAAAGGTGTTTAAGCCAACCTGTAGCACCTGCATCTTCTGAGACTTTGGCATACTTGGCAGGAGTGTCCCAGCAATGGCGATGCCGACATCTGCCCCCTTGTCATCACGGACTTTTCTATTGTAAAGTCCCTGCTGCATCATCTTCAGTTCTGCCTCAATGTGATTTTTGGACATCTTGAACCCATGGAGCAAGGGGGCTATGTAGACTTTTTCAATTTGGTCAACAACATTCCAAATTCCGGTGACATTGACGTGGGATGGATCACGCAAAATGAGATAGCGGAAAAAATTCAGCACGGCCATAACTCGATCCGATTGGCTGAGCAGGTCAGTGTGTGGGCCCTCTTCTGGGAAAGCAAAGACTAGGTTGTAGAATTTCTGCAGCGCTCGGGCAGAGAAGGCTTCGCTTGGTGAAGGTGACTGCAAGTTGGCATGAATTTCATCCTTGATCAGTTGAATGATATATCCTTGATGGCCAGGGCGTGCAGCTTTATTCAACATCAGAAAAAGACACTGGCTCCGACCGTAGGCATTAAACCTGCTGACTATGATGGGGATCAGTTTCAAAGCACGGCTACGAAGGTCTTGCACTGGGCAGTTGATCAGCACACGGGTTATATAGTCAACAAAGATGGCAAAATCTTTCGATTCCAGGATTTCTGGTTCCCATTCTCCTTTTGGGATGCGCTTGACAAGAGTCTCTGCAAGTGCCACGCCTTTTTCTATAACGACGGAATGTGTTTTATGCATCATGACACACATAAAGACAATGTTGGACTCAAAGACGTATGGATGTGTAAACACAGATGGAAACTTGTCAATTCCAACATTCTCACAGAAAAGAAGATAAGCAAAACAGCTCATTCCCACAATTGGAGCTTGTTGCTCTTTCTCCCATTCATCAACTTCATCGATCTCATCCAAAGCTCCCGATGATAATTTTCCTGCTTTTCTCATCTTTTTGACACTGTCTTTAGAATGTGCTGCCAGCATCCAGCTAAGGGTTTTGTAAAAATCATGCTGTAATTTGGAAATCATGGAGATGATGCGCTGGGCTATCACACGACCGGTGGAACGCTTGGCGTCCCCGTCATTCGGATCATGTGACAAATCCAAATACACCATCGGAAATTCCAGCAGCTTAATCAAATATATCACCAGGTCTTTCCTTTCATTAATGATGGCGAGGCTATTTTCCCTAACAACATCCACTGATATATCATGTACGAATGGTTTAAGAAAATCCACTAAGGCATCTACTGCCGTGTTGATTTGGCTGACCTTTGGATCATTTTCCAAAAACTTCCGCTCTTCTTTCTCTAACTTATAATCTTCTGGTTCTTTCAGAGCTCCAATATATCCGTAAAGGGTCTCCAGGGATATCTGCAATGAATTGTGCCTCTTAGATGGCAGCTTTAGCAAAACTTTCTGTATAGGTTTCAGGAGGGTTAGATAGCGAACTTCATCGATAAATGCACCAGCTTGTTCCAGGAATCCTAACATAAGCTCTTTGGGGTTCCCAAGGGTGACAAACTGTTCAAAGATGTCTCCACATATTTCTGTGAGGTGTGGGAATTTGAGGGCATTCTCCGCTGTGAGGCATGTTGAAAATGCAGGGATCAGATCCCAGGAAACAGCAGGAATGTGCTTTTGGTAAGGAGGAGCAAGGATGAGTTCACGGCACTCGGAATACTTTTCATCTTTTAGAAACTTTTTCACTAACTTCTCAAAGTCTTCAGCCATTTTGTTCAATGGATGTCAGCTGAACTGATTTTTTTTAACTTTCAGTTTCCGGTTAAGTCATCTGAGACAGTCTGTAAGATGAAAATGAAAATGTGGCAATGCTGGAATGGAGATTGGAGTTGAATGCTCCTTCTTTATGAATACAATATCTTTGCTGCTGTTTCTGAAAACAAACTTCCTAGCACCAATTTCACAACTCTCAATTTGTGATGATAGAGTTTTCAAAAGAAAAAAATAAATAAAAATTTTAATAATAATAATAATAAAATTAGGGGAACAGTCATCTATCACATACAAAAATACACTGTAGGACAAACAAAGCAACATGAAAAAAAGATTCTATAAGAATAAAATTTTAAAAATGGCACACATCAGCAACAGATGACAAACTAGGAATTTCCCTTTGAGTGATAAAGTGGGGAGATTGTTAAACAAAGGTGTTTGCAAAAAAAAAAAAAAAAAAGAAAAAAAAAGAGAGAGAGAGAGAGAGAGAGAGCATCTTCAGAAATTTACAATTTCAAGGAATGTGGAAAAGTCTCATTTGTCCCACCTTTTAAGATTTCACATTAAAGCAAACATTAAAATTCACATCTACTTTAAATATTACACACAGACTAGTGACGAGTTGGGATAATTTTTTTAATAATATGATAATCGACATAAATTTTTGATGGGAATTTCCCAGACGAAATGAAACGAGACATTATCGATAACGATATTTCCTAATTCGGACGCCCTTTAGAATTTTTTAAATAACAGGAATAAGCATTGCACTTGAGACAAACTACAAAATATTTTTAAAAAGATTAGTTATTCAGATCTTACCAATAAATGCGAAATTGTTCCGAAGGAAACGTGACCTCCTTACACAAGCAGACATGCTTGTTTTAGCACCCAATCAAATTGAGCGCTGATAAGACTGCGGGCCTATTCAATATCATTTATTCAAATATTTTAATTTCGAACCAACTTATATAGTAAACGTACCATGACTATTAATTTCGATAATCTGAATATATAAAAAAATATTTGACATGATATTCAGATACTGAGTGGTCTTAGTAGTCTCGCAGATATACAGCGATGACGTCATCAAGTTGACTTCCTTTTTCGACACTCCCTCTCATTTCCGTGTTGATGTTTAGCTAAAATGAACCCCTGAGAAACTGTAATAATTGTGAATATAAGAGGAGCGGATTCGTGATATATCTGTCAATATCATCCGCTATGGCTGGCACTAATATTCCCAAAGATATTCAAGGTAAGCTGTTTTGTTTCTCACCAAAGTAAACGAATGAAATCGACCCGTCTGTTGTAGCAAAGCCTTTGCAAGTTAGTCGTGTGTTCAACCTTTAAAAAAAAAACAGCAAATGCTATTTGAGATAGTGCATGCAGGCGATCTAGTGTCTGCAACTTTCACCTGCAGCAAAGAGCGTTGCGAGGTTACGATGTCTAGTGTTGTCAGTATTTTTCATTTATCCTGGGGTGAAAAACGTGCAAAGATGTCTTTCTGAGGTCTTGTCTCGAAGACTCGTGCACACGTTGAAAGTGTAACTGCAGGTCATGTGCTTGCCTTTAGAAAAAAAAAAGATGTACACTAACAAAAGCGTGTGAGTAATATTGCTGTTGTCTAGTAATAGATAACAGTATTGTTGCCCAATAGAGATAAGATGAGAGGACAGTAATGAAATGGAATATCTGCTAAGGACACTTGCATGGCAAAATTGTTGTTATTAAGTGAATTGCTTGTATACCATCACACCCATAGATTTTGAAAAGGGGGGAGGTATATACAGTGTATGTGTGTTTGTGTGCAGGTATTCACATGGTTTTATTTAGGAAAGGCAAATGATCATTTAATACTAGTAGATCAAACCCATTAAATTCTATAATGTGTTAACAAATTTATGTACTGTAGAAATGGAAAATTTAAGATCAGATAAAAAGTGTCATCAGGTATCATATCAAAGAAGCAATTTATCTTCTTTTTGCAAACCTAGGTTAAATCCTCTCAAGCCATGAGCTGTTGTCATGTTTCATACTTTATCGGTTTATTATCAGTTTCATGTTACTAATCCACATGTAGAATTCATCTTCTCCATGATCCACAAAGATTCAAACTCATTTTGTAGTGCATGACTTATGCATGACTTATGCATCTTATAGTACAATTAGCTTTTTAGGTATCCTTCAGTAACTTTTGTTGCCAAGATTGAGCTCTGATTTAAGTCCTGATATATGCAAATTTCTGACACCATTATCAAGTTCAATAATTCATAGCTATATTTAAGAATCAGTTACACAATAATACAGGGAAGTCTGGGGAAAGAATAATATTGATCTCCAGTGAGCTACTATATCACTGTCAGTGAGGAGAAATATTGTATTAAGCTTTTTGGATAAGACTGTTAAATCATACAATCATATAATAGGCCAAATACTCTAAAAGATTTCATTCATTCATTTGTTTTTTGCAGCAACATGCAATTGTATATAGTTATATGTTGATTATATTCAGTTAGTTTATTCCTCTTTCGTAATCTAAATGGTAAATTGATGATTATGATAATCTGTAGCGTATTTAATCCCAGAACTGACTTTTCATGTCAGTAGTGAATATGTGACATACTAGTATAATTCAGTAGTTCTGTGAGAAATCTCTTATAAAAATATAAATTTATATGTTTATTTTAATCTAATTGGGAGTGGGAAGAGAAGTGGACCATTGTTGCAGGATCGGTTTTAAACAAAAAAAATTACATGCAGGAGAATCATTAATTAAGATAATTTAGTACTAGTAAGGTGTTTTTTCTGCTAAGACTTACTCATAACTTTGATAACCAAACTGTAAGAATTGAGTAAAATGAGTCAGCTTAGCTCATTTCTAACTGTGCAGCTAGTGACAGGGCTTTTCTCTTTGTTATGCCATTGATGGGCAGCAGAATACAGATAATTGAATAAGTAATAATCACATATCATTTTCATGTGTCATATATAAGAGATGCATGCATAATAAACTTTGCCAAGCTTGCAGGATTTTAAGTTGGTGATATGCCAAAAGTTGTCACCATCGCTTTTGTATCTTCTTATCATCTTCCCAAAAGTCACAGGTGACAGTCACAAATTCATGTGACTTGTCAAGTTGTCATAAATATCATATATGTTACACACTCAGTTATGATTACATAGAATATAATAAGTTAAGAAAGTCCCATTTTGTACTCTCTTTTGGTCAGTGGCATGTTATATTTTTGCCAGTTGCTACTACATATCTAAAGAATGAGAAATGTTTCCTACAGAATTTCTGTGTTAGTTTACTGTTGCCTTCAATTGTCATTTGGCTAGTTAAGAAATCAGCAAATTTGTATGACCTCATATCTTCGTAACATTCCATTACTTCCAAGCTAAATGGGTCATTTGGGTAGAATAGTAACTCTGCAAACTTGAGATCTTGTTTACATAAGATGTCGTTTCTTTATCAAATTGAGGTGTTATAAAATATAAGTGTGTGAACTTCCTGGTTAATTGTGATGTCCCCTTACTTCCTGGTTGTACTGTCCCTATACTCACCATAGGTAAAATAATTTACCTGCATCTGGGGCACACAGCCATGTTGTTTGTTATCAGCAGTTACCTCTTCAGCTTATCAAATCAGTGATCATTTGTCTCTTTTGTTTTTCAGAAGTTTTTTCTTGATATTTTTTTTACAAAATGATTACTAGTATTCAGTTGGCAAAAGAGTTACAAAAGACAAAGTGAAAAGTCTGATGATCTGGGATTTTTTTTTTTGTTAATTCATTTATGTTTACATAAAGATCCAAAAGTATATGATTGAAATGTTTTCAACAGCTATGCAGACATTTCAGATATATTTAGTAGTTTTCTTTGATGCACAAGCTTGCAAACTTTCAGTAGCACATTAGTACAGTTCATTGCTCTGCTGCTTTGATTGCCATTTAGTCTTCTCTTGTCTACCTGTCTCCTGCAGGTATGCAGTTACTTGGCACAAATCCAGTCTTACTGTATAGAATTCTCTTCATGTTTCAACCAGAAAACAACTTGATATTTTTGTGTTCGAGTACTATAAAAGGGGACTGTCAGACAGGAATTAAGTTGAAAAGCATAACACTGTCAGTCTTACAATTTTTTTAATTACTTCACTTTTTACCAAGGCAATAGTAAAGTTTTTTGAGAAAATTACACTTGCCATTGATTTATCTTAATTAACTTGTAAAAACTGCCTAAGCCTGTGACTGCTACATATTTTCTCATGTATTCCAAGTACATTATATTACTAGTACAATCTTTTAAAAGAAAAAGGGTTTGGTTATTGGATGAGATATAAAAAAGGGCTGTGAGAAAGTGAAATAAGTTTATGAAGTATCATGTGGATTATGTATGATTATAGGGAGTGTCCTATTTGTACAGATATTACAGCCATCATACTACCCAGGTGATAGACAGATATCGATGACATCTTAAAAAAAAAAGGTCAGTTGAGATTTTTGCTAACTAGAATGTATTTTATTTGGCTTAGGAAAATTTCATGAAACTATTGTTATTGGCTTTTACCAGTTAACCATTAATTTGATGAAGAAAATTGTGTTTTTGATAAGCAGATGAGAATAAAAAATGGAACACAATAAAAAGTGACAGGTAAAGAAGATGCACTAGTAAACATATTTAAGGTGCAATTTTTACCAACAATGTCACCTACATAAATGATCATAAAAATCTTGAATCCTTTTTGACTCCATTACCAGGTTCTTACTTGTAATCCATATACATAACATGGACACCATTTGACAACTCATAGCATACAAAACATAATGTGTTTGAAAACAAAAACCAATTGGCATTTGCCAAGGTTTTGTTGGCTTCAGATACTCAGTGTTACTGTAGATATAGATAAACTGGATGTAGTTCTGGCAGACCTCTCTCGGTCTCTCTGTTTATGCTGGAGGGCTGTGTTAGAGCGCATTCTCAACGCATTAAGCCAGGCTTTACAAAGCCGGTGACCTAAAAATGGCGGACGGACATGAAAGAAAAACCAGCCCAATCTTTTATAATG